GCTCCTGACACCACAAATAAAATGTTTGTTGTTTTTTTAAGTACAAAAAAGTGTAAATTTTTCTTCACAATTTTATTCAACAGTCATATAAAATAGAAGATCAACTGTCTTTGAATTTTATGGTTTAATGTATAATATAAAAGATATATAAATTTAAAACAATCTGGTCTGCTCAATCAGTACAAACACCTCATACCAGCTATCAAGCACGGTGGTGGAAGGCTGATGATCTGGGCTTTTTTAGCAGCCACAGGACCTGAACACCTTGCAGTCATTGGGGTGACCCTGAGCTCCTCTGTAGACCAAAGTACTCTAGAGTCAAATGTGAGACCATCTGTCCAACAGCTGAAGCTTGGCCCAAATCAAGCCATACAGTAGGACAACGACTGCAAACAGCGATAAATCTACAGCAAAACCAAATAATAGCAACAAAGACAGAATCAAAAAGCTGTTTGTTTCAAAGGTCCAGTCCAGTCCTCAACCCATTTGAAATATTACGGTTGGATCTCAAAAAAAGCTGTTCTGAACGGGGCAAAATCTCACTGGTTCAGCAAGTCGTTAAATATCGAAGGGTACTTAGATTTTTAACACCCAACTTGTTTTTTATTTTGTTTTTGTTTAATATATATATATAGACATGTTGGGATATTTAGCTTGAGGTGAGATTCCAATTTAAATTTAGATCCTGGTAAAGACTGGATCTGAGACGAGTCTGTTCTCTGTGTTTCCTGCACCTCGCTGTTTTTCCTCAGGTCTCTTCTCTTGTGCACAGCTGATCCAAATCCTAATCACCCCAGGTGTTTGTCCTCTCACCTCGTTAGTGTCTGTATAGAGTCTTTGTCTGTTCACTCCCTTGGCATCCAGGCATTACTCCTTCCACAGTGGCATGATCTGGTCTCCTTTGTCTTGGCTTCCTCCAAATGGTAAGTTTTTGGCTGCCCGGTCAGCATTTTTGTTGTTTTTAAAAAATAAATACTTTTACTTACTTCCTCTTGGAGTTCCTTGTTTACGTGGATTCAAACCAAAACAGCAGTATCATGTCAGGATCCATTTTATTATGACCTGATGCATCCATCTATTTACTTTTACCTGCTTTTTTTCAGTAGGTGCTTATATCCAGCAGTTAATACCTGAAAGGCAGGGGACACCCTGGACTGGTCCTAAGGTCGTCATAGAGCCGCCCTGATACAGAAAAACCTACAAAACATTTTTTTTCCTTTTGTACTTGTGGATTTTGGAATTTTCTTCCATGGAGCAAAGGGGGGACTTGGAAGTAACCTCCCTCCACCTGTCCTACCTGTGAGCTAAATAACTTGAAATAATAATGAGGTACAAACTTCTGTTTTGGTGTGTGGATGAATTTAGATGGAAGAAAGGTCACTATCAAAAATTGGGTTGCAACATCAAAATCCAAGACGGCCACTTGGGTAAATCGGCCACCCCAGTCATTTGAAGAAACTGCTTTTTTGTATTTTTCATATTGGTTAAAAGTGTGGTTTCTTTTATTTTGGGTAGCTATTATTATTTTGGAAATTAATGTGGGGTGGCCTGAAAATCTATGGTGGCCAAGGCTGCCATGGAGCCTTGTGGTGGCAGATAAATAATGTCAACTTACTTTTTATTTATATGACTGTTTGTTTCTGTTCAGTGTCCTTAGATGACTACTATTATGATTTGGCGCTATATAGATGAGCTGAATTGAATTAAATTGGTGTTTAATAAAAACTGCTCCCTCCACTTGCCAGCATCCATCACTCTGCTCTGCCTTGGACAAGCAAAAAAAAAAAAAACCTACTTCTCTTCTTAGACACAGTGTAACTCCTTCTACTTGAAACTTTTGCACCAAAAGCATTAAGGTTTACTTGCATTCCCTTTTTCAATTCAGAAAAAATGTTCTCAATAACTGGAAACATTCACTATTCAAATCCCTCAGTAACGAGGGACATCGGCGTAGCAATTGTTTACGCTGAGAACTCACATTTAATGATAAATTCTGGTTGTAAAAAAAAAAAAAAAAATTAAAAAAAAAGTATTTGCAGCTGTTTGTATATCACTGTAACTTTGCTCATGTCTGAAAACTTTGTAATCTAACAAAAGCTGCCAGTGGCTTGTTATTGTGAGAAACAAAATAAAGTTGTAGGCATTAAGGTAAATCTGCTATGAGTTTGCTGCTCCTGATGGGACGTTGCTGCAAGCAAAAATGATGTTAGGAGAGTAAATGTTGCTGTTTGAAGGCTGCTGCCAGGCAGTTAAACCCCTCGGCAGGTCTTGTCTCTGTTACAGATAAAAGATCATGTGTTCATGCTCACAGGAAGTGCAGACGTGGACAGCAGAAATGCCCTTATTAAATGAGGAAGGATGAAAAAGCAGGGCTTTCACGGCCAAGATATTTAGAGTAACTAAAACATCTAGAAGAAAATTGAGCTTGTGTAATTTTATATATCCTCTGACTTTTAATAGGATGGGTCAATAAGAAGCAGCAGATTTTATTTTTGACGTGTTCTTAAAGTTTAAGATTCTTTCAAAAATAGGATAAAATAAAGAGCAGATATTTGCCCATCTTCTTTGAAAGAGCAAAAGGAACTAGGTCAGGCCTTCTAGCTGCTGTTGCTCCTGAAGGCATCATCAGGCCAGGAGGCATTCAGATGCAAATTTATGAATGATGCTTTTGCATTACATGGTACAATGCACTGTGTACAGCTCTGTTCTTTTGTGATTGCTTTTTGTTTTGTAGACAGGACTCTGTACCTGATACGGACAGTTCTGTGGGCACAGTCTGAGCTGAGGTTCAAGTGAGTCAAGCTGGTCCAGAACGCTGGTACATGAAAACCCTGCAGATTGTGTGGGCGTAACAGCAGTGCATCTGCAGCAGCACACACCAACACACTTTCTTCCGTTTCTTAAAGACGTTTGAAAATCAGGCACACAATTAATCAGAGAAATATCATTTTAAACAAACAAATCCCACATTTTGCATTTTCATTCATTTTTTAGACTTGCACTCAGTCCCTTCCTTCACTGACCTGGGTTCTGCATAAATCTGTCATCATACTCAATCCATAAAGTTATCTTCACCTGTCAAAGAAACCTTTCATACGCTCTCACCTTGTATATGAAAAGCTGATTTTGTCCTCAGTTTGTAACCGCCTCTGTGAGTTATTACTCTGCTTATTTACTCAGTTTTGTGGCGTGCAGTTTGCTGCCAATTGCATCATTATTAAATGCCAAAAACACATGTCAACTTTTGTGCTTGAAGCTGCTGTGAGTTTCTGTGAGGACAGATTTTTACCAGCAGGAGGAGAGACTGTGAGAACTAATAAATGTCCCGTTTGTGTTTGGAATGCATAAAAAGCAAATCATTATAGAAAGTGTGCAAGTCATGTCGCTTCAAGAAAACCTGGAATATCTGACTATATTACCTGCTGTAGCTCTGTATGTATGTTGTGCTTTAAAAGGCTTGATTGAATAAAAGCCGTTTGCATTCATCCCAGGGTTACACCGTCCACTGTAGATATCTGCCTGCTAGTGCAAAATGTCTTTTTTTATAATTATCTGATTCCATGGACTGTTTTAATTAATAATTCTCATTCATGTATTCTGGCTGATGCATCTTATTTGAATCTATTGAAATCAAAGAGTGACCTCTGATACATTTATGCGAGTGTTGGAGTTTATCAAATTAGACATGAATGACAGTTGCTATTTAATGTGAGGTAAAGAGGGTATCTTGAGTACCTCAACAGGTAATATGGTTGGTGCATGAGTATTAGATCTGTTTGTGGCTCAGTGCTAATGTGTGTTCGATAAACTGCTTGGTTTGTTATAATAATTATATTATCATGCACATCTTGGTTAATTTCCATCATCACCTTTTATTTAACCAGATATAAATGTGTTGGTATCTAGATCTTTCCCAAGAGTCACCTGGAGGTCATAAAACAATGATTAAAACAAGCAACAATAGAATTGTTTTACCCACATAAATAAAATGCATGGTCATAAAATGATGACGAATTTAACTGTGACTCAAAACAAAGACAACAGTGTAAAAATATTACTTAAAATTATTAAAAAAACACGGGCAAGGGTGTGTAGCGAGACTAAAAGCTGAAAAGATAGGGGGGTTTGAAGTTCACTCCACAAGACTGGACACTTTCAGAGGTGCTACATCTGAAATATGAACAGATGCTAAAGTGTGTTTTGCTGTGACCCCTTCAGAGAAATTTGATTCTGCCCTGCGGCTTTTTCCCACACTTTTTATTGAAGAGATTTCCTCCCTCAGGAGGCATTTAATCCCTGCCTTTGCAGTCAGGGAACACAAAGTCTCTGTTCCTGAATTTGTACTGTACATCAGTGGCTAATATAGTTTACACAGTTGTTCCTCATTCACTGTAACTTGGATCAATAGATAAACCATCATCTAAATATTCGAACAGCAGCATTTTAAAAGAAATACATGAACTACTAAAAATCAATGATTGGTGTTTGAAAGACCTGTGTGTGGTATTGATTGTTAGTGTTATTGTCTAACACCTCCTTCTCTCTCTTAAAAGTAAGCCCCAGTTGTATTTCTTTATTAGAGGGAAAAAAAAAAACATGCAGCTGGCAAAAATGAAATAAAACACGAATGTCACACCACAGATATCATCAGTGTTGTTTTTTTGTTTTTTTTTCTGGCATGTTATGACTTATTTTAAAAAATTCTGCTGCTCATAAATGTTTAATCAAAGAGGACCATGGGAGTTGGGAAGTGAGGAATCTGCAGAAACACCTGTATCCTCCATCCGAGATCCGTTTTTTTTCTGTCAACGTGTGCTGAATGTCAGAATCACTGTCAGTGATGTGTTTTGTTGTTGTGGATTGCAGATTTCATCACTAGTGCTAGTCATCCTACTCTCAACTCCATAAGTATTTTTGTAATAGTACACACAAAACAGCAGTCATGGCTTTTGACAGGAATGTGAAGTTTGTGCTTTAACTGGAAAAGCAGGGACACTTACAGAGATGATAGCAGCCAGAGTCTCAACAGCTCCTGTGCTCAGTGTGATGTAGGGCAGTAAATTCTCAGCGAAGCCTGCTGCACGTAGGATCCCATTAGTGTAGTACCAGATCTGCAAGAGAATAAATTAGGATTTAATGATTGAAATGATATGAACTTAGACAAGACTGAGACCTTCTTCACACAAGGTTCAGGCCCCATTACACACTCCATGACCTACACAACCTGTTAGGACAGGGCTGGCTCATGACAACTTTAGAAAACCTCCATCAGTGTGTAGGCTACCATTTATTTATTTATTGTTGTTTAACTGGCCAAGTTCCTTTTTGAGATCACATCTATTTTGCAAGAAAGGCCTGGACCTGAACATTCATGTTTTAGTCTGTGGGAGGAAACCGGAGCACCCAGTATCATGACTGTGCTACATTTGTAATAATCACTAATCTCTTAATTTATTTATAGATTTATATTTGAATCCACATGTTGATCTTTATGTTGGTAACCTGCAGGTCCTGCCACTAAGGCCCGACTATTTTGGACTGTGTCAAAATTAATTTGCAGCACTAGAAGCAAGCACGAGTTGTTTTTGTTTTTTTTATCTTTACAGCTTTCTATTTTTTATTGGCAAACTATATTTTGTCAAGACCCCAATAGTATTTTTCCATTTCAGTGAAGACCTAAAATCTAAACAACAAAGCTGTCAGGGCTTCTTCTCTTTCCTTTTGCTCTAGCTTCACATATACAAGGTCACCACTGTGAATGCAGACGTCCCGAGAGGGAAGGCTGAACGGTGTGAGCTGCTGCACCTGATCCTCCACCTCACAAACATATTGATGCTTTTGTCACTTAAATAGGACGCACATCTAAGCTGCCCTGTGGAAAACCAACAATAATGTTTTAGTTATAAGAAAATACAGCACATCCCATGAGTTTTCAAATGTTAGGAATGCCTTTCATCCATCCATTATCTTTACCCGTTTATTCCATTTTGGGTCACGGGGGTCGCTGGTGCCCATGTCCAGCAATCACTGTGCGGGGGGCGGGGTACACCCTGGACGGGTCGCAAGTCCATCACAGGGACACATAGAGACAAATGAGACAAACAACCATTCACTCTCTCACTCACACCTAGGGACAATTTAGAGTTACCAATTAGCCTAACATGCATGTTTTTGGTCTGTGGGAGGAAACCGGAGTACCCAGAGAAAACCCACGCATGCACGGAGAGAACATGCAAACTCCACCCAGAAAGGCCCCCGGACCGGGGTTTGAACCAGGGACCTGCTCGCTGAGAGGCAGCAGCTCTACCAGTTGTGCCACCGTGCTGCCCGTTAGGAATGCCTTGATTTATTTAAAAAATATCCAAAACTTTCTGATTAAAATATTTATAATGGGGTTTTGAAATGTTTAAAGAAAAAGCCATTTCATGACACGATCATTTCAAACATTTCTTTATGCTAAACATTTGCTTGAAATCACCGATCTATAACAAAACCCACAAATCTTGTTTATCAGCAGCAAAGCTTGCTCTGTAAAGACGGAGTTGAAAAGAACTATTTGTCCTATTTAGAGGATGTTCAACTATTATCTTTTATTTTGTGCAAATAGAAAAAAAAATAGGGCCCAAATTAACAATTTGCTGATGAAATATGTGGAGAAAAGGGAATTTTCATGCTGGTTTTCATGCGGATCTTGTATTTTCAAAACCTATAAATATAAAATGAATTCCGTTTGAAAGTCACAGAACTCCAAAATCAGACCGTTTTGAATGAGGAATAGCATAAAGAATGGGATTAAAGTGAAACTGATGAAACACGAGTGTCATATCTTACAGCATTGAGGCCGCAGAGCTGATAGCAGGCCATGGTGATGATAATGGTGATGAGCTGCCAACGAACAGCTGGGCTCCTCAGCAGCTGGAGCACAGAGGCAGCGTGGAGGTTGTCCTGAGCTCGGGCCTCCGCATGGACCTCTTCCAGCTCCTGGGACACATCCTTCTTCCCCAAAAACCTCTGAAAAGCTGACAAACAAACAAACAAACAAACCCACAAACACTGATATTATACACTGATTAAAGATGCAAAGAATTTGTTCCACAGAAAATGAGAACATATGTTTCCTGAAAGGCAGCTGCTTGTTAAAGCCTGAACATTCAATTAGATTTATGAAAATATTCACTTGTCTCCTGCAGCTTCATGTGATATCAGGTTTGTGCTGTCAGCAGTGTACATTCACTAAAACATACCCTGTTTTTTCATTCAACCTTTATTTATAGATGCTAGCCTCACTGAGCCGAGGGGACTCATTTACAAGAGGGACCTGTTCCAGACAGAACATGTATAAAGCACAGACAACAATAACGGTTACCAATTACAGCAATAAACTGTAAACATGAAGTTAAGATAAGAGTAGTGTATAAAACAATAAATCAGGGTGCCGTAAAACAGGGCATTTTGTTATTTGACTCCGTTTGATTTCATGAGGTCAGCAGTTTAGATAATGCAGTTTTATCACATGTAAATATTAAAATTACACACAAGAGTATCCCGCTGTTCAGGAAGAAAAGGAAATACAATGAATATATGTGAGGAAATAAAATTCAACAAGACACTTAATCTGAACTGTTCACAGGTACTACACGGATTTTCTTGTTTCAAATTAAACTACAGAAATTTCCTGTGAAAAAGCAGCGTGAATGTTTATTGCAGAAGAACATGCTTAAAAACACACCGATATTTAGCTGAAATGGAAGACCAAGCTTAAATTAGTAGAAGGAAGAAGACAGAACACACTTTTTTCCCCTTGAACCTTTATTTATACAGGTTAGTCTCGTTGAGTCAAGTGGACTCGTCTTTAAGAGACTGGTTTTAAACAAAACAGACAAACAAAAGAACACAAATGAGGTACCTAATTTTATTTCCTGAATTATATTTAAATAAGCAGAAGTTAACGCCAAAATTGGAAATTAGCTAAAAAAAAAATTTTTAAAAAGGTGAAAATTAGCGGAAAAGAGAGAAAGAAGCTAAAACTACCAAAAGGAAGTGAAAAGAGCTGAAATGGGCAAAAAAATAAAAAAAAGGAATTACCTGAAAAGCTAAAATTAGCATAAAACGGCTAAATATTAGCTGAAATAACTGAAAAACTGAAACTAGCAGAAAAAGCTGAAAGGAGTATAACAAGCTAAAATTAGCAGAAAAAAGTTAATTAGGCTGAAAGTAGCAAAAATTACCACCAAAAAACGTGAACTTATATAAAAACAGCTGAAAAGTGAAAAAAAAAAATTAAGAAGCTGAAAAGGTAGAACAAGCTTAAAATATCAGAAGAAATCAAACATGTTTGCACATTTAAGCTGAAAGAAGCAGAAATTAATACAAAAAGGTGGAAATTATCTGAAACAAGCTGAAATGATCCCCCCCCCCCCCACACACACACACACACACACACAAAACCTGCTGAAAAGTAGCTTAAAAAAGCAAAAAGAAGCTTAAATTATCAGAAGGAAGTGGAGAGAGCACATTTTTGCTGAATTAGGCTTAAAATGTTTAAATGACTGCAAAAACCAGGAATTAGCTGAAAAGGTAAAATTAGCATAGAAACAGCTAAAAAGCAGCTGAACAGCAAAAGAAAAAGCTGAAACTAGCAGAAAAAAGCTGAAATGAGCATAACAAGCTGAAATTAGCAGAAAGAATTTATAAGTCCAAAATTGTATTTTGCAGAAAGATCAAAGGAATACAAAACAGATTAAATAAATAGCTGGAAAAAAGTTTAAATTTGCACAAGAAAGCTGAAAGAAGCTGAAGCAGAAAAAAATGTGAAAGGAGCAGTAAAAAGTTGTTAACAGATCTAAAGATTTGAAGGATGTAAAATGAGCTCAATTCATTTTCTGTGACATCAAAAAATGGCAGAAAAGGATAAATATTTCAAAAAGCTAAAGTTGCACCAATACCGAAAGTCATAGCAGGTTTGTCCTGAAAGAGCTGAAAGTTTTGATAAATGATTTGTTGAAATCGAACAAAGTTGTTGAATGAGAACGCTGCTGAAAATGTATGGAAGAATGACAGTAACCAACGATAATAAATATAAACAGGATTGTGAATGCTTAATAAGCATGCACACAATGAACAGTTCCACAAATTTGACAATGTTTTTCAATCAAAAATTGCTGCAGTACCTAAAACCGAAATATTCATTTAAATTGTTTGTGTGTAACATTATAAGGTGACAACAAAACAAATATCTCCTTTTTAGGTCCAAATTTTAAACAAGTGCATCAAAAACCTGCAGTAAAGCATGAGCATAAAATAATTTTATCAAGGATTTTAATAATTTATTGACTGTTGTGTCGTTTTGCTGATCTCGAACGGAGTTTTGCTGCTCTGAAATGTGTGTTGTGTTTCTGCAGTACGTCCCACTAGATGCCTTTCTGGAGGTCAAGATGGACTCGGGTCGTTATTCGATCTATAAATCTTTGCTGTGAACTTTTTACTTGAGCTCTGCTGGAATAAAACATCTTGAAAGTTGGCAGCAAGTTTGAAAATTGACAGACAATCATAAAAGATGATTTTTTTTTTATGTTGGCAGCTCACAGCAAAATTCCTCCCTGACCTGAAGTGGACTTCTGTTTTAATTCAGACATGCACTCTACAGAAAATAGACTTTGATTTCATATTGCAGGGAAACATTTTTCATAATGTTTTGGTTTTTCTTAGCCAAGACTTGAATTTGCAAAGACATCCAGCCTGTTAGCCATCTCTCAATCAAACTTATGGAGGTCCATATAATTTCAGGAATCAAATGTAAATCATTTATTGCTTTAAATATATAAAATTTAGCTTTTATTGTGAAAACTGTTTTTTGCAATGCAGACCAGTTTTAGCACTAGCTGCTCTCCTTTTAATGATTCATTTTAACCATCAATTAAATTTCCAAACTAAATGGAAAGCTGGTATAGACAAGTTTTACATTTGTAGCTGTATTACATGTATTGAATCAAAATGTCTTGGTATATAGAAGCAACACAGTAGTTTTTTTTTTTTTTCAGACACAGAATCACACAACAGTGAATGTGTTCAAGGCAGAGTAGAGTTTAGTTTCTCATTAATAATGATGAGTTGAATGAAGAAGATGGGGATCAAACCACTGGACAACAAGCAGACCTTCCTCCTGAGCTACAGAGTTGCAGTGTACCTGACAATTTTGTGTGTAGATGCAATATTAATTTGTTGTGTTTGGCTGACTGTTGATCCCACAGTTATATTGTATTATGTTGCTGAAGCTGATTGACATGTTGGCCATAATGATACATATGACTGTCATTTCACACTGACGTTGTTTCAGCTGAAGATGTGATGCATATGGAGAGCTGCTGCTGCAGTGGATGGTTTTCAGTGATAGCTGTCATTTTATTTATTTCCTCTCACAGCCTTCTGTTGACTACATGTTGGGTTGAAGCTTGGTTTGAAACAGCACAATTAACATATCAACTATTTGTGTGCATTCAAAATCCATTACCACCCATTGTTTTTTGTCTTTAGTGTGTCACACTATTTCTGCTGATAGATTTAAGTATTTGTGTATTTAAAACCCTTAACCCAGCCAAAGAGAAAATGAGAACCACAGAAAAGTGTGAGAGTAAAGTAAATGCAAGAAGTTCCAGGTGGAACAGGAGATGAGTGATTTGATCACATTTTGATTTTTATTAATTACGTTTTTTACTTAAGTAGGCAAAGTGTCTTTGTTTCACTTAATGCTTTTAGGTTGCACAACAAAATGAATAGATTAAATTCATGTGCATAAAAAAGAAAAATGATTTACTGGAGGCCCTGTGATGGACTTGCGACCCAGCCAGGGTGTACCCCTCCCCTTGCACAGTGATTGCTGGATATGGGCACCGGCGACCCCCGTGACCCAAAATGGAAGAAACAGGTAAAGATAATGGATGGATGGATGGAATTTACTGGAATGAAACATGAAATGGGGGAGCATGGTGGATCAGTTAGTAGAGGTGCCACCTCTCAGAGAGAAAGTCACCAGATCGGACCTCGGCTGGGGGGCCTTTCTGGGTGGAGTTTGCATGTTCTCTCTGTGCATGCATGGGTTTTCTCCAGGTACTCTGGTTCCATCCCACAGACCAAAAACATGCATGTTAGGCTGATTGGTAACTAAGTTTTCTCTAGGTGTGAGTGAGAGAGTGAATGGTTGTTTGTCTCATTTTTCGCTATGTGTCCCTGTGATGGACTGGAGACCTGTCCAGCGTGTATCCGCCTCTCGCACAATGACCGTTGGATATGGGCACCAGTGACCGCCGCAACCCAAAAAGGAAGAAGTGGGGAAAAAGTTGATGGCTGGGTGGATGAAACTGACCAGGTTCTTCTTAGCCAAAGGGAAGTTTTTTGAAGTTTTACAACTTGAATGCGATGCACAGGAAGAACGAATTGCGTTAAAAAAACTTCTCTCTCTATGCTTTGATCTGTTCACCCTATAGGTGAGTCCTTGAGGTTAAAGGAAGCTCAGGTGGATCGAGAATAAAGACACAACCCAGAATAGTAAATCTCTGAACACTGAAGGGAACAAAAAGCAGGTCATTAGGATGTGGGAGCTGGCTGGCTGGCTCGCTGTGTGCACACTGACCACACAGGAAGTGCCAACACTGAGCCAAGTCTAAAGCCTCCTCAGAAGTCCAGCACAGCATTTGGAAGAAAGAAAGATTGTGTGAGAGCTTCTGTGAGTGTGTGTGTTAGTGGTTGACTGAAAACATCACTACTAAAGATGTGAGGTTTGCGAACGATCGTAATCGTTTGAGTGGCTCTTTACATTAAACGATAATAACCAAGTTGAAGACAGTAAAGAGATGTTCCTAGTTTAATTTTTTCCCTCATAATTGTGTCGTGTTTTCCTTCTCAATCCCAAATTGCTCCTTCTTTTGCTTTTTCATTGAGACAAAGGAAAACAGGCCAAGGGGAGGAGTTCAGCAGCACAGGAGGGGTGAGGGTAGGAGGGAGGATGTTCCCATTTGACAAA